CTTCCCCGCCTCCGCCCGGCCCTCGTCCCTCCGGAGGCGATTCTCGCCCCGCTCTTCTCTTTGTTTTTTGAGCAGTTACATAGTATATGTATATTCTCAGCTGCCAGGATTTAGTAACTTCACGTGCCTGAAATAAACCTGTCGGCTGCCCAGTCAAACCCGGATGACGTGTCTTGATTTCCAGTCAGGTAGCATGACGTTTGCTAGAGCCACCTTTTACCTCAAAAATGAGGCGTTTCAAAAGGTGGTTCTAGTAAAATCTCAAATAACAACGGAATTGAAAACAAGTTTGTAGCCAGGTACGAAGAAATAGGCTGTGAGAGGGAGAAGACAGATGCAGCCTGTTCTCAGCAATTTTTCTCGAAAAAAGTCAAGTGTTGGGAACAATGTGAAATAGTGAGGGCAGAATATTTCATGCCAGTGGAATGGCCTTAGACACTCAAGAACAGACATTGCATCAAAGACTCATGGGTATTGCTAGATGCTGGATAAAAATCACAAACACAAGGTCACCAGACGGATTTATTTTATCTGAGAAGACCTTGTGCTTTTTTAAAGGCTTCTCTTATGATTAACTCAGCATTTTTAAACAATGATAGCCATAATAAGCCATACAAGCCAACTAATTTGAAACGTTGACTCAAACAAAAAGGACAAATCAAAGCACAGATAGAAAATCAGAGTCTTTCTAATGTTTGGGAGTACTAGGAAACAGCAACTGGGGCAGTCTGTGCTTAAAATAGTCTGCAATGTTGCTTAATGTAGAGAAAGAAATGGATATGTATCAGGGGTTGCTAGAGGACTTGAGCTTACTTCCTTAAAACAGTGGGAATTCTGAATATAGACAGATAGTTTAGGGCCACAAACTCTAAGGGGCAGGTTCCATCACTCTCTTGAGGCATTTAAAACCAAAGGAGTACCGTGGTTGGTGGAACCTGAGGAAGCACATCCCTCTAGTGGCACAAGTCGCGAGATAAAGAGAGCACCTTCTGTATTTCCTACTTAGCTGTGCAAAGTGCTGTAGAGTTCTGAAAATGCAGGGCAGGTATGTGTGTGGGCATCCTCAGGTGAACTTTGCTTTATTTGTCTTACATGTTTCTTTTTATGTCATTAAAGGTTGCATGGCACATTTCCACTTCTGTTTTTATATAAAATCTTTTAGTTGCTATTTTAATCCCAGTTCACCCTGGAAAACAAGCCTTTGAATTACCATAAATGTTACCAGAAAGGGTTACCCTTTTCACCTCCAAAATCGTTTGTGTGGCCTCTCTATGCTAATTGGGCTGGGAGTATAAAGTCTGAAGTTCTAATCTAGAAATTTTGCTAACAAGACTTACATTTTTATGTACTAAAAGTTACATAATGGCACAGGAGAAGATGGTATCTGTTCACCTAGAAATGGTAAGATGACCTATAAAAGCCATTAACAAATGTCAGCCTACACCATTCTCCGTGGCTTGATCCTTGCTTGAGACGTCTCACCACCCTTTCATAACAACCTTCAATAAGCAGTTTCCTGGTGTTTCCTTCTTCATCTTACTAAAGCTGTTAGAAGTAGAAACCTCTCTAACAATGGTATCAATAACTAGAATATATTGCTAAAAATGTTAGATATACAGCAGTTAATAGGAAAATATTTAGTTTAATATTTGGTCACTGAGATTCTTTCTTCTCATGAGAAGTTCTACATGACAGAGCATAGACTTTAGCCTAGGAACTCTGAGGGAATTCTCAAGAACACATGTCTTAGGCTTATAAAATCCCTGAAAAATCACTAAAGCATAACTTGATATGGACCACACATTTTTTCATGTTCAGGAACTTTTCCTTTGCTTTCTACTCCTACTTTCTGACAGCATAGATACCTGTCTAGGCAAGCATTCCGTCTCAATTCTGCCTTCTGAAAACACAGGAGTTATCTGAGGTAATAAACACAAAGCCTTGTTAAAATTAAAGACCATCCTCCCCACAACTACTTGGCATGTGATTCTCCATGTCACTAGGCACATATCCAAAACATGAAAGAGATGTGACAACAGTAGGAACCCTCATGAAGAGTCACCTGAAATATTAACGTATTACTGAGCACTGACTGACTCCATCAGTGAAGATCCTTTCTGACACAAAGGATGTGGCTGCTTAGATCAATTACCATCTAGAATACGAAACATACATCCTAGCAAAAGTACCTGTTAGGCTTTTAAACCTCATTTAAAAACAAACCATTAAAAAACTAAACAAACCAACCCCCAAAACAATGCCAAAAGAAGTTCCAGAGAGGCCACTTTTGGGCTGATCTACGCAGAGAATTGACCAGGTCAGAAAGATGCACGAAGTCAGTCATCTTTGGGATTTTGGGGGTGTTGGGTGTTTTTTTGTTTTGTGGTTAAGAGTCTGTTCAAGAAGTCTTTTACGGACACAGACTGTATAGGAGGTGAGACTGGAGGAAATGAAAAAGCAGACAAGCATAAATAAGGCATGTACAAGAGGAAAAAAGTGTAAATCTGGTGACAAAACTAAAGGAAGAAAAGCAGCATGGCTGACACTACCAGAAATTATGGGTATTCACAGAGATCTAAAAAGAAAAATTTTTAAGATAATGAAGAGAAAATGATAACAGATGTCGAACAATACACAAGTTGGGTAAAAAAAAAACAGTGAAAGCTGAGTTTGACTACAAGTAAAGAAAAAGAAAGAAAGTGTCTAAAGTGGTAGATACAATCCTAATACTCCAAAAATCCAAAGGTGTTTTTCTTAGTTCATCTCCCACAAACTACCTGACACAAGGCACTGTGAAAGAAAAAAGCCTTATGGTTTCCTGTACCTTTCATTTAACACTTTAAATACTAGAAATCACACAATGAAGACTAAAATTACCAACTTGTTTCACCTCTATTAGGTCACAGAACCCATTCTGCATTGATGTTCTGGAGAAAAGTAGTAATTGTTGGCAAGTGACATAAGGCATTTTCTCTGATAACCAACTTTAATGGGTATATATGCTTAACTACCACACAGTTTCCTTCAGATTATGAGAATCAACACAAACATTGGGGTTTTTTAATTAATTTCCATAACTAAACAGCAGGAGGATGTATATTACATAGCTCTGTCACAATTTGCTGGTATGCATTCAAGACCATGCATACTATCTTAAAATTGTTTAATTGTCAGGTGTGGATTTCATGGAATTGTCAACAAGATTTTTGTCAGGTGTCTCATAGTGAAACCACGGTCCATCTCCTCTGTGTCTCATCAGCCTGCGCGCCTCCAACTCCATCAGCCTAGAAAGAAAGACACACTCAGCATGAGGTTTATTGGTTTTGATCATATTTACATCACTGTTTAACACCAGGGCACTACTGACAAGAGCAATGAGTTGAGCATCTATGGTTTATATATCCTACTGAAACACAGGCAGTACCAAAATACATCATTTGCGAAGAAAGGTTGGACTGGATGATCCTTGAGGTCCCTTCCAAGCTGGTATACTATGGTTCTAAGAAAATATCAAGGGTTCAACTAAGACATGAGCTATTACATACTTCATTTTTTTCCAGCAAGTCATCTCACAAGAGAGTAATAATAATACTTGTGGGAGTTCTGTCACAGATTCTTGTGTATTAAGGTACTTGGTAGTTTTGATACAGCTTTTAACTAAAAAAAACAGGAGCAAGAACATCAGACATAAATGTGATGGTAGAAGGAATAACTCTTGTCTATGTCAAATGCATGTCTTGGTCCCAAGAGCAACAGTTTGTGCAACTCAGACTTTCTTCTACCACCAGTTTACTCTGAGCAGGTATAGAATAAACTCGGTGCAGTGATGTCACTGCTGCCCACAAAATTTTCAACAGCAACAAAGAACATGATGGGTCCTGCAAACGGTTGTTTAGCTACTCACTTAAGCCGTGAACATTAGCAGAGGCAAAACGAGCTGTCGTCAGACAGAGCTGTATCTCTATAAGCATGAACTGTTTTGAAGAGTTGTTTTACAAGACCACCCTTGGATTGTGCCAGTTCATGGAGCAGGCCGGGAGCACAGACACCTTGACTTCCACTCCAGCACCAGCCAGTGCAACAAACACTCAGGGTGGAGTGATAGGTGAATTTTGTCAGCACCCAGCTCAGTATGTTAAGCAAATTAAAATTAGAGTCAACAACAGTGGGTACCAGTATTTTAAAACCCTCAACTATATGGCATACCTCAGTTCTGTTTTCTTGGCTTCGGTATGAATCACAGCCATAGTTTTCTCATAGTCCTTTTCAGGGGGGTCAAGGACGTAACGAGCTATCCAGCGACTGATAGGGTGCTGGAAAATAAAAAAGCAGAGATTATTTGTGCCATTTCCAAGTAGAAATGTCACTGTAACTAAATCAGTTTGCATCTTCCCAGTCCTCAAAACATCTTCAATACCATGGGTGCTGCCGTTCAAGCCACAGTAGTAAAGTTAAAACCATGCTCAACTATTTGTAAGATCAGAACCCTAAAAAGCTGTATTTCTTTTGCCATTTTTAATGCCAAGATAACCTGCAGACAACTATTCTGTAGCAAACTTAAAAGTCAGTGGAAGACTTGTGATGTACTTTCTTTCTGCTGAAGTAAAGTTCCTTTAGCTGCCACGGTAATCACAGAAGTGGGCTCCAAACCTCTGACCATAATCAGCAACGTTTTAAAGGTTTGCTTCCACACAGAGGTCACTTCACTAGGAACTCTAAATGAGTTGACATAGTCATAATAGTACTGGATTCAATTACTTCCTATCAAAATAACAAAAAGTGCTTGCAGCAAGAAGCCAGGGACTGATTTTAAGAAAATACAATGAAGCAGCAAAAGTATAACCTTGAATTTCTGCATACCAAGATCTTCAGATATAAAAGATAGATAAAAAAGCACGTGTGATGCCGGACTTTGAAACAACACTAGCGAACAACACAAAAGAAAGTAATGTCACCCTAAACTCCAGCTGTAGTTCTAGAGCAAGAAACAAAAACTGCATGCTAAGAGACAACTGTTCTTGCTGTTTAGGAATATTATAAAATAATTCTTGACATATAGCTTCAGCAGTTTACTTGCATAAAGTTGCAGATCATTTGCATCTAATTGTGTCAATAAACAGACTTCCTACAACAACAGATGCTCCATAAAGCTGAAAAAAAGCAAGTTTACCAAAATTAAAACTGCACAGTTCGAGTTCTACTGCACTGATACCCAGTGGCAGGAATATGGCCACCCTCTTTATCCAATCCCACACATTTTACTCCAAAAAGTTATCATCAAGGCTGTCCATAACATGCCACCCTTTTACATGTTACACTCACTTTGTAGTATTCCCAGTACTCTGGAACATAACCTTCGGGAATCTCTGCAAGTTCAGCTTCACCTGACATGGAAACAAGGGAAGGAACATTTAATTGAAGTTGGTTTTTGGTTGTGAGTTTTTGTTTGTTTGTTTGTTTCAGTACCTTATATTCTGCTTTTGACAGTAGGACAGGATCATTATTTCACATGGAGAGTACTTAATCCCTCAATCTGAGCTCTATTCAGAAAAATTGGACTTGTAATTTTTCCCGACACTTCACACAAAGTATTTATCTCAGAGACTTTAAGACACACAACAGAAGGGTGAAACTTGCATCTATACAAAAGAAACAACCAAGATCAAGCCCACAGAAACACCCTTTAAAATATATGGGCTGAAAGCATGGATTTTTCCTAGTTTCTCTATTAAATTAATTCCACATTATTACAGTAGTAGATATAAAACATATTGCCGAGCAGAATTTTGGCTTTTTTCCAGATAAAAAGTTAAAGCTGCAGTGTATGCAGCCTTCTTAAAGAAACAGGTAACACAAGGTAATACAGACTCCTCGTGTGAATACAGAAGAGCTGTTCACTCAACCTCACTGATGACTGTCAAAAAATTGATTTTTTCTGTTTTTAAAAATGTGGAAAGTTTAAAAAAAAAACACCAACAACTACAGAGCAGTAAAAATACTGGGAACATCTTCTATGCACTCCTACAACATTACTCTAACTTATAGACTTACTTTATGCTCTTTGGAAAAGCATGAAAAGACCTTAAAAGCTCTCCTTTTTCAATCCAGCATGTTTAGTTTCCATATAATAATTCTGACTGTACACTCACCTATGAAGATGTTGACATACGTTATGAACAGTGCCACCGGTATTCCCGTCAGAAATACATAGAATTTCTGCATAGGGGATAAAAAAAAGCAGTATAGAAAACTCAAAGTTCAAATGAGCTTAGTCTGAAAACAATGCAACAGACAACAATTCTTATATTTGCATTCAGAGGTTAGACGTGGACGTTTTACGTAAACACAAAATGCTGCTAAAATGAGTGTCCACGAGCATATTCGGTTCAGCTTCCCATCGCCGGGAGAGGCAGTCCCTGCAGAAGCAGCCAGCCATGCCTTCCCCCGGGCTGTCACACCAGCATTTCACAGTAATGAGGCACTAACACCGACCAGCAGGACCCAGCAGGAACACAACCCTGCTGGCTGTGCTAACTGCAGAGGGCAGGTAGCAGAGGAAGCCTGGTCACATGACAGGAGTCATGGCAAGTTGGCTGTTAGCTGTCACAACAAGCTTTATCCAAAACCTAGGTTTTTAGGGGTCAAAGTCATGTCAGGATTCCTAAGTCTCATCTCTGGTATGCATGGTTTAGGTAATTGAAGGCAAACCCTGCAGGAGAGTAAGCCAATACATTTTAAGAAGGAGGATGGAGTGGAAAGCATATGTAGGTTATATGCATGTAAACACAGACACATAATTTACAAGTGCTGGTACATCATTAATTTAAGGGCCTGTCACAATTCTTGCCATATCGCCAACCTTTTTCCTTCATCTGGCCCTTATTTGACAACATATGACAAAAAATTCTTTAGCAGGACTGGCAATTCTTGTTTATGTGAATAGTTCCAACTGTATTTCAGATGCTGTCACATGAACAATAGAGAAAATTCTGTTTAGACACTCTTAGACCATTTGCAAGGGATGCGTTGCACTGAATGTAAAAAATTTGTTTTTAACTCACCAACAAGTTCAGAAATCGAGTATCATAAAACTTTGTTGCCTTGATAATAAACATTCTCTTCCCATGGCTGCTGCTATGTCGCACAGGAGCTGAAAATCAAACCAAACCGTTAAGTTTTTTTCTCCCTTTGGTGACTGTGCCTGGATGAGGTCAACAGTTTATGTTTAAAATAGAAAAAAAAAAAAAATAAAAGCACACAGCAGGAGCTGAGTAGTTAGGAGCTGGTTTTCTGAAGGATATCAAGGTTGCTAAGAACCTGTCTGAACTAATTTCTTTATTTGCTGGAAAAAAAACAACCATTTTTTTTTTCTAACTTTAGATCCGGATCTATTTCTACCTGTAAATCCCAACAAATAAACAACTGAATGTCATCACACTGGGCAAAGAGAACTCGCAGGTTAGGACGTCTGGCCTCCTGCCCATTTTGATCCGCAGAACGCGATTTCCCGGGGGAACGGAGGCACCCGTTGCACCCCCGAGGGCCGCTCCCGCAGGTCCCGCGGGTTCCCCGCAGCGCTGAGCCCCGACCCGGCCAGGGGAGCGGGGAAAAGCCGGGGCCCAGCTCCCGCCCTCAGCGAAGGGAGAACCTC